ACATTTCCGGTGATGGTTCACGAATTTCTTCACGATTCTCCATCTCTTGAATCTTCGCCCATGATGTTTCGTGTTGCGTATCGAGGTAAAGATTTCGTCTCGCTGGAAATCGATAAAATCAATAAATGCCCATTAATGTGCCCTTTATCGATCCCTGTAAGATTCTTACGTCTGCATTCGAGTTTAAATCGAGTCTCAGCGGTTCCAGCTGCATTCGTAGCACGGCAGATGTATGTTCCAGTATCTTCTGGATGAACATGGAGGAATTCCAAGCCCACGTAACCGAAGTCATGAATGGTTCGAATGCGGGATCCAAACATCAGCGGGCGTTCATCGCAGAACCATTCGATCTGGAAATATATCAAGTATAGCTGAAGAGGAATTTGAGGTAATTTAGCTTTAAAAATTTTAAAAATTCCTTTGTCAATTTTGAGTGGAAGAAACTGAAGCAAGATATTTTATGAGGAAAAAAAACTTAGTGAATGAAAATGCTATCTAATCTTACGAATTATAAGCGGAATTTCAAAAAGTTCAGGAAATGCTTTAAACTCCTGGATACCTTCAAATTAGGATCATTGATTGGTTGTACAACACAATCCATGTGTACACTCTGTCCCTCTTTAAGAACTTCTGAAGGTCCAGTAAGCTGTTGAGTAAACACAGGTGGTTCCAGTGGCATCTCCTCTTCTGTAAATTTCGCAAATTTTCAGGAAAAAAACTATTAAACTTTAGATTTACAAAACGATCTCACCGCTAGGTTTGGCAGGCTGGAGTTGTTCCATCTCCGTAATCCTTCTCAACGATTCTGGATGAGCGGTGTCAGATAGGATCGATTTCAGTCGTTCAACGTCGAATTCGCAGGAGGTTTCGGCTTTGCCTGAAGAAATCATCGACTCTTTAGATTACTATAGAAATGATTGGAGGTTACCCATACCAGCTGCGTTCGAAATCACCAAGGTATATTTTCCAGCATCTTCGGCAATAACATAGTCAATATCGAGAGTGACGAAACCGAAATCGTTGAGGATACGGTAGCGACTGCTGGCTTTCAATGGTTGGCCATTGTACAGCCATTCATACTAAATTACCATTTTAAGTGTGTGCTATGTCGATTGTAACTATTTAAGTGTTAAAATACCGTAATTATTGGCACTCTGACTACTAGCTATGTATTTACTTACCTTCAAAGTGTTATCGTCCACTGGAGCCACCTGAGCCTCAAGATGAAGTGTTTGCGATTCATGAACAACGTCGAATTTAGGCGGTAGACCCTGAAACACTCTCATTTATATAGTTCAAAATGAAATCTTGAAAAATTAAGAATGTAAACCAAAATTAGGGTTAAGACTGTAGAAAAATGACAAAATAAAGTTTGCAATTAATTTTGGGTAAATGAAGCTCAAATTGAGAGCGAAAGACCCCAGTGTTTGATAAACTTCACTAACATTACAGTATAACACTATCATGAGGTAGATACAATAACATAAATCAAGTAAGCCCAAATACATACCTTAAGGATTTGTGGTTGTTCCTTTGGCTTCTCCGGTGGAGGTTCGGCCCTTTGTTGTGGAGTTTCGAGTTCTTTGATACGTTGGAGGGAGCTGGGATGAAGCGAGTCGCGATACTAAAAAGTTTTATTCAATTCTTTCCAATTAGAAATCTCGCTCTAATTTTTATACTCAAAGGAAATCTTTCGAAATTGTGGCTACTCTCGGCGCTTTATTAGAAGATATTAAACCTGCTTGTTGCATTTACTAT